GTGGCCAGTGGGGGTCACGTGACCCTCCCTCGTGCTCCCCGTGGTGCCCAGGCCTCGGCAGGGTGACCGGAAAGAATTTGATCAGAATTGTCCTCTCCACTTGAGCCCACGCAGGTGGGAGGCGCAGGAAGCTGGAGACTTTGCTTCCCCGGAGGCCGGGCCTCTCCCACGGGGAGCCTCCCAGAGGCCAAGCTGGGCCAGCCTCAGATAAAGATTGCAGGGGCCCTGATAAATCCTGCCTGACCTTTCCCCACAAGGCTTCCATTGTTATTGCTGTGGCCCAGGGGGAGGCCGGTGGGAGGGACCATTGCTGGGAATGCAGCTTAGGGTGCGCTGGTCCTGGGCAGGGCCTCCTGTGGAGGCTTCATGCCTACTTGCCAGATCTCGATGCCAATCAGCTGGCCTGAGCCTGGGAGCAGGGAGCTGCTTGTCCTCAGATATGGGCTGGCCAGGCAAGGGGCAGGCCTGCATTACCCCCCCTCCACACACACACACACACACACACACACACACACACACACACACACACACCACCACATTACCCCCCCCCACACACACATACCCCGCCACATTACCCCCCCACACACCGCCCCATTACCCCCCCTCCACACACACATACCCCGCCACATTACCCCCCCTCCACACACACACATACACACACCGCCACATTACCCCCCCCACACACACTGCCACATTACCCCCCCCACACACACCGCCACATTACCCCCCCACACCGCCCCATTACCCCCCCTCCACACACACACATACACCGCCGCCACATTACCCCCCCCCACACTGCCACATTACCCCCCTACACACACACACTGCCACATTACCCCCCTACACACACACACTGCCACATTACCCCCCTCCACACACACACACACCGCCACATTACCCCCCCTCCACACACACACACACACACACACACACACACACACAAACTGCCACATTACCCCCCCTACACACACACTGCCACATTACCCCCCTTCCACACACACACACACACACACACTGCCACATTACCCCCCCCTCCACACACACACACACACACCCCAATGCGGAGAGAGGCTTCCATGCCTCCTGGGAGGAGGGGGGCAGGGCCAAGCCCACAGAGTTAGAGCAGACAGGCCCTTGTTCTGCCCCTTCCCACCTCCCAGGTTGTCTGTGACCCCCAGCTGGACAGAAGGGAAGGGTGTCCTGCAGGCAGGAGGAGGGAGTCAAACAGTAGCTTCTGGGCATGGCTGGCATCCACAGGTCAGCTTAACCTGGCCCCACTGCCTCCAGCTAGTCCACCAATGGGAGCCTGAATGTCATCTGTATAGGGCAGAGAAGGGCTCAGGGTGCCAGGTGTGGGCCGTGTCCCTGCAGGGGGCGCCCTGCCACAGAAGGCCCAGGCCCCCCAGGGACCAAAGGGATGGTGCTGCTCTCCCCCTCTGGAGGAGGGTGGGGCCTGCAGGGGAGGGGCGGGGCCCAAGGCCCTGGAGCCCTGAGAGCCCAGGGGGAGAGGCGGAGGGCTGAGGGCCTAGGAGGGGTAGAGGAGGTGGACTGGGCATGCTACAGCTCCTCTGTACCTTCCATTCCCCGTCCCCCATCCTGTGCCCCCTGCTGCTGCCCGATGACCCTGCCAGGCCTCCCAGTACCCCCCAACCCTGCAAGCCCTAGCACGCCTCAGACCTCTACGCACCGCTGCACTCAGCAGCTCTCTCCATCCGAAGCCGGGTCCCCAGTGCCCCTTGCCAAAGGTTGGTGCCCGCCTCTCCCTCCTGTGAACTCTGGCTGTGGACGAAGTAGAGACAGCCCTGGCAGCGCTGGCAGGGAGGCAGCTACGTGGGGTCTAGCCATGAGGCAGAACGTGGACTTTGGGACAGGCCCCGCATTCCTCTAAGCTCCCTCCCAGGCCCCAGCGGGTCCTGGCCTGTCGTTGGCCTTCAGGATCACAGGTCGCGGTGAGCACAGGTGGCACTGAGCTAGACTGGGGAAGGGCTTCCGCCGTTGTGAGTGAAGGGCCGGGCTCAGGGGACTTTCGGGGACTGGGGGCTGGCATGTGGCTTTGCTGGCTTTGGGCACAGCATGGTGACAACCACCCTCACGGTGGCGTTAGGCCCTCAGAAGCCAGGGCCTGCGGTGGCCGGAGGCCAGGCCCCAGGGCTTTTGGGCGGGTGGTACGGGCAGAGGTGGGCAGTGCGGCCTGCTGTGGTGCCAGTGTTGAGTGGCCGGCAGCCAGCCTCCTTGCCCATGCTTTCTCCTCTCTCCCGTTCCCCATCCTCTTTTCCTCCTCCCGGGTCCCCTTCCCTCCTCTGTTCTGCCCTTCCCCTTAAGCGTGGGCTCCCACTGGAGTGAGGCTTAAACACCCATCAGCCTTCAACTCCCAGGGGCAGAGGAGGGCAGGGGCCCACCGGGCTCCATTCCCAGCTGGCAGCCCCGGGGTCCACAGGCCCCTCCAGCACAAGACACTGCCTCCCACCTCATCCTGGCCGCACCAGGGGCTTCACCAAGAGAGGTCCGGAGACGTAGATCAGTGGTGTGTAAGGCCTCGGGTTCAATTCCTAGCACCACTGAAGGGGAAGGATTGCCTGGGAGGGCACCCAGGAGCCCCGGAGCTGTGTGGGGAATTTGCAGTGTACGGCAGCCCTGGGGGACACGCCTCCTCCAAAGCTTGGGCTGTGACTGGACCAGCCCCTGGGCGAGCGGCACTGGCAGGGCAGGGCAGTGCAGCCCGTCAGGGCACGGGACCGGCATTGTCACCCGCCAGTGTGGCTGGACCTGCATGGGTGAGGTGGGGGCCGCCCAGGACCAGGGTCATGATGGGAAGGGATGCGCCACTGTGAACGCCCGTCCCTGTCCCGGTCCTGTGTGGCACCGCCAGCCACTGCCTACAGCGCCGTCCAACTCAGGCAGGAGGAAGGGCGGAGAAGCCTCTGCGCCACCGACTTTAGCAGCTGTGACCCCAATGCTGGGTGGTGAGAGGAGTCTGGGGACCCTGCTGGCCTGCAGCTGGGTGGGGGGTGGGTGGAGGGGTGGATAGACGGGTAGATAGGTGGGTGGGTGGAGAACACAAGTGAACGGATGGAAGGGAGAGAGGGAGGGGAGGCAGCACAGTGTCCACGTGAGTGAATGACAGAACTCGCAGTAAGGAGCCTGGGACCGCCTGACCCCGCAGAGAAGGCTCTGGATGGGCTCTGAGGAGAAAGGCAGCCAGGTGACCGGCGGCCAGGCTGGGTCTTGAGCCATCCCGGAGCTGGGCAGGGAGAAGCCCTCTGCCCGCCCGAGCCCGCTGGGAGGGAGCCACCATGACTACCACGCCACCTGGTGGCCCTCGCTGCCTGAGACCTCCAAGGCCAGAGCGGACCCACACACCCTGGCCATCCCGCGCCGGGGACGGGGACGGGTGGGGACGGGGGACGGGTGGGGGGTGGGGGAGTAAACCTGGGCTGGGCATGTGAGTGAGCAGGGCCTGGGCTGTGGGCAGGAGCCCCTAGATCCACTGACACCCCAGGCACTCTGCCCACTTTTTAAAAAAATGTTGCTGTTATTACAAAGGTGAGGTACAGAGGGTGACAGTTACGTAGGTCAGGTGGAGAGGACCTTTCCTTTGGCCAGCATCGCCCTTCCCTCGCTCTCTCCCAGTTTTTCCCTCCCATTCTCACCAGTTCATTTTCAGCATGTTGTCCAGTGGCCATGATCACTCTTGAAGCCCCACCCAGCCTCCAGAGCCAGCAGGAGAGGCTGGGGGGGGGGGGAGGGCGGCCAGGGCCATCAGAGGAAGCGGGGCCTTTGTTCTTTGCCCTGCTCTGAGCTACTAGTCAGCCGGGAGGCTGGAGCTCCACCCCCACCCAGAAAGGTGGGCCAGGGGGAATTCCCCATAGGTTGGTAGGTCGATAGGTGTTCGAGGGGTTCATGGTGGGAGCAGACACAGGACAGGGAGCCAGGGCCTTCAGTCCCCCCAGCACCTCGGTGTCCATAGCCAGGCCTGCCATTCTCAGGGTCAGGATTCTGCCACCTGGAGGATGGGCAAGCCGGGTGGGTCCAGTGCCCTCAACTGGGACTGCCGGAGCAGGACTATGAGGGTCTGGGGAATGCTCTGCGTGCAGATCTGCCCGGCAGGAGGCAGGAGCAGGGTGTGCAGGGCCGTCCCACGCTGCTCCATCCCTTTGTACCCCAAGGCTGCTTCCTGCCACCTCGTGCCACACTGCACTACAATGCAGGAGCCCAGCATCTGGGGCTGGATGTGAACCAAGTGCACCTGGCTTGAGCATTCCTGAGTCTTCTCATTACGTGCCGTGACCAGGCACTGGTGGCTCACACCTGCAATCTTAGCTATTCAGGAGACTGAAACCGAGGATTACAGTTTAAAACCAACCCAGGCAGGAAGTTCATCTCCAATTAACCACCAAAAAGCTGGAAGTGGAGCTGTGGCTCAAGCGGTAAAGCACCAGCGTTGAGCCCACAAGCTCAGGGACAGTGCCCAGGCCCTGAGTTCAAGCCCACAGCACTTGGGCAGGGGTCAGGGGTGAGGGTGAGAGGGATCTTGAGGTGAGGGGCAGATCAGGCCTGGAGAGCCCAGTCTGCTGTCAGCGTCTCCTGGGGCACTGTGCGGCCACCGGCTCTTTCCTCTGCTCTCTGCATGCACCTGCTGTTGGCCATGTCTGCACCATGGCTGTCTCCCACCATGAAATGCCAATGCCAGGAGGGAGTCTAACAGGCCAGTGCAGCCGGTAGTCCCCCGGGTCCACCGGAGTGTCCCGCAGACCCAGCCGTCTGCTGGGTCCTGGGCCAGGCCGGGTCTCTGGTCCCCATCCGCACTGGCTTCGTGGCTTTCCCGGCTGGCTGGCCCCTGCCTGCTCAGGCCTCCTCCGGGGTCTTGGACGTCTCTGGGGTCCCACTTGTCTCCACCTCATTCCTGGCCCAATTCCTGGGCTGGTTGGGGCCGCCGCCAGCACGGGGCTGTGTCCCGCCAGCCCTGGGCCTGACCCTGCTCTCTCTCTCCCTCTTTCCAG